TTCCCTTCAGCCATCGATTTTTGAGGTGAAGCCCGAACCCCCCGCCTCGGCGCCCCGCGGGGGTATTGACCGCGTAGATCAAAACCCACAGAGGTCCGAAAAGGGTGCGAGCTCTCTAGTAATCGCCACGCACTCGTCCTTCCTGTTGATCTTTGGATCCTTTGCTGCAATCCACATGGCTTCAAGGGTTCTGCGGGCAGATATCTCCTGTTCGCATGCCAAGATCGTAACCTTCACCACCATGTTGCTGCTTTCGTGATACTGCACCTTGTGGTCACCTAGAGGGGTGGAAGTTTTGGCCTTTCTTGAGCCCGTCTAGGTGCTCCTTGATCCTTACGCAGAGCGGCCTTCCTGTTTCTCCTACATACTCCTCTCCACATAGTTGGCATGTTATTAGGTAAACGACTCCTGACATCATGCAATCGCCAGCTTTCCAAAAGGGCAAATGACGCAGGAAGGGGTTAGACAGAGTCGGTCATAGAGGCGGTTCCGGACCAACTGTCTTTTCAAACTTGTGGGAGGAATCTCGACCACTCTCACAATATCCTGGAGATCCGCTTTTCTCAGACAGGCGCGAATCGCAGCGCTCGTGTCATCAGAGATGAAAGGGAAGCAAAATGGTATCTTTGCCTGCTCTTCTTGTTGTACGCTTTCCTGTCCTAGTTCGTCGCCCATGCCACGCCGAATGCCCATGTTGACCGTAACCATTTTCTTTCGCAATACGTTGGGCCATTGTCATCGACTCCGTTTTGTAAACGCCTTCCGATGAAACTGCTGAGGCAGTTCGGAACATGTTTCGGACAATGGCCTTTTTGGTGTTTGAGGGGTGGGCCTGAGGTGCAGTGGACGATAATATTCTTGCTGCTAGGTTTCCGATACCACTTAGTCCTATGGATGCCTTGTGAGAAATGTATGTGGACGTTCAGAAAGGCGAGCCAATTTTCCGTCGGCTTTTCTCGTGTGAACTTTATATATTCGGACTGCTGATTCAGAAGTCGAAACATGCGTCCATCTCGGATTGGGTGGAGCATACGATAAAGCAGTCATCGATGTACCGGCGGTACAGGATTGGCTTACGTTCCAGGACAGGCTTCTCATTTTGCCATGAAGGCTATTGCCAGAACAGGGGCAAGCCTTTGTCCCATAGCTAGTCCTCTGACCTGCTTGTAGTACTCTCCTGCCCATCTGAACGTGTTACATTTGAGACACTCCTTGAGTAACACCATGATCTGTGCGATAGATAGACCGTACAAGTTGAGAGTGCCATGGATGTTCGGTAAGGATCTCCAGGACTGCCTGCATTGCACTATCTTTGGAGACGTTTGTATATAGTGATGTTACGTCGAACGATTCCCACCATAAAAGAGCGCACCACTCCGCGTTGAAGAAAACAATAGTCCCGCACAAGTTTTACCATTCGATACAAAAACGAGCAAGAACTGCGCTAGTAAGTCAAGGGCATAAGAAGTGTAAATTGAACAAAAGAATCACCATCGGACCATGCCCGCTGGAATGGAGTCGACACTGAGAGGATTGCAGGCGATTGAACAAACACGCCCACTTAAGAAGGGAGGTAGCCAAAACCAGCCCTTTTGGCGTTTCGGCTGGGACCGTATGCTGAATGTTGGGGAGGGGATGGGGTCCCAAACGGTCGACGGTTTACTTCAACTCGGTTGGTACGATAGGAGAGTACTGACACAGAGTGGTGCAGCTGGTCCAGCAGCTCGCCAGAAGGGCTGGTTTGTTCACCCAAGACTAAGCCTTGGAGAGGGGACGGACCCGTCTCTTTAAGGCTTAGTTCTGAGGTAAGCGCCAAATTGTGGCGGTTCTAAGGACCGAGTTGAAGTGGTCCGTCCACCGTCGGGGACTCCATCCCCTCCCCAACATTCAGCATACGGTCCCAGCCGAAGCGCCAAAAGGGCTGGTTTGCTTACGTCTTCGACAGCGCGTATCAACTCCTTTCTAGCGCTTTCCAAAGCACGTTTTTGTTCAGTCTTACTTCTCATGTTCTTGGCTAGGGC